AGGAGAGAGGAAGAGAGAGAGGAGGGGAAAGGGAGAGAATAACCTGCCAATGGACCCATGGACTGGTCAGATACCAGAAGGTAGACATTGTCAGTAAAAGAGGTTTAAGAAGCCAGATTTGATCCCAAGTCTGCCCAATTGAAAACCCTTTCTCTCCCTCTGCAGCTGTTCACATAATTTAAGTCTGTTAGAAATGGGAAGGCTTTATTGTGTTTACTAATCATTCATGTAGCAAACTTATTTCATTCATTCAATCGTCATTTCAATTAAATTCTGAACATTTATGGATCACTTGGCGTGGGCAATCAACTGTGATTTCGTTTCAGGGGAAACATGTCTTATTCAAGAGGGTTCAGTGAGGAGGGATGGGCTTAGGTTAGGGAGGGAGGCTTGAACTTCACCCCTGTTTCTGTTGCTCACTAGTTGGAAAGCCATCATCACCCTGCCACCCCCTCACATTCTACCATGCCATTCTTTTAAGTCTTATGGAGAACTGCTTTGTACCCAGGAGCTGACCTTGAAAGTCATTTTTTTTTTTTCTGGAGGTTTATTGGTTGGTTAGATAATTTAGACTTGGAGACTGAAATCTTTCTTCTATTTTTGGCTGCATTGGATTTGGTATATCCTTGGATTGATTTAGTTTTCTTATTAGCAATTCATTATTGCATCTTAATAATAGCAAGAATTACTGACTAAATGCTTATAATTTTTTTTTTTTTTTGCTCCAACTCGGTGACTCCAATAGATCAATCTGAGCAGTCCGGCATGTTGGGATGTTAGAAATCAAATCTTGAAGGTGCATCTGTAAGATGTATCCAGATGGATGTGAAGTACAGTCCCTGAAATTCTCCCTGCGAATAAAACTGGGAAGACAGAGACTGAGAACAGGTGCTGAGCCCAGTTGAGGCCCCTTAACTCTGATGCAAACCCTGGGCCAGGGGAGACTGTGACTGCAGGCTTTTCTCCATGTGAAGCTGCAGGAGGGGATGTGAGAATGGGGAATTCTTCTTCAACCAGGAGCCTCCCTTCTAGAAATTCCTGCAGGGCGTGGGGAGAAGCTCTAGTGGATCCAGTGTCTTCTGGTGTGATTTCTAAATGGTACTAGTATCCTTTCTTGTTGATTCCTCTTCTTCTTTCCTAGCCAGAACATTCAGGGGCTGACTTCTGAGGCCCTGACCTCAGGTCTGTGTCCTCTTCCCCGAGCACCAAGTAGGTGTAGATAAGTGGTGACTGACATGAACTCAGCTGGACCCTGCCCTCCGGGGCTTTCCCTGAACACACCCCTTTTCTATCCTCACACTTGACAAGCAGTGGTCATCAGTCTGGGGATGATGATTGGTAAACTCATAAAAAATTGGTCAGGGATCAGAGAATCAGATTCCTGCAGGGACCAGGTGGGTTACACAAATGTGAGAGGTGGTCTGGAAGAAAGCAGTGTGGAATAGAGAGACCTGTGGCCAAGTGGAGTTGATGTGCCGAGGTTAATGGCAATTGATTGAAGTTTCTAAAAAATTTCTGTTGATCAAATTACAATACCCTGAATCCAGGACCTTGGTTGAAATTTTCTAGCCAAATAGCTGTGCTGAGTGATACTCAACCAACTAGGCCAGTGAGTGTGAAAAGTGGAAAAATGTCAGGGAGCAAAAATGTCAGGCAGATGAAGATGAGGAGCCGCCATGGATCTCTCCTAAAGGTGGGGTTGGATGAGCTCATGAGGAACACACTGTGGAGGCCACGAGGGAGCAAGTATCCAAAGCAGGTCCTGTGGCATCTCCCTAGGCACAGCTCCCTAATGGGGCCAGGAAAGCCCAGAGAATTATACACCATAGTAGAAGCAAGACAATAAAAATAAGAACAAGGTAGGTATAGTTGGTATTCACTGAGTAGTTGGGTCATGGACATTGTGTTCAGCACTGTCTTTCCAAAACTTTTTTTTTCTTTATTTTTAATAGACTTTATTTCCAAGAGGTATTTTCTACAAATAGCAACACCAAGCAGAAACTACAGAGAGTTCCAAACAGTCCCGTCTCTCATAGGTGTGCATACTCTTCCACAATCAACAGCCAACACCAGAGAAATACATTTATAATAAGGAATGACCCTACTGTGATACATCATTGTCACACGGAGTCCATAGTTTACATTAGGGCTCACTCTTGGTGTTGGACATTCTCTGTGTTTGGATGAAAGTCAAATGGCATGTATTCATAATTACAGAATTATGCAGAATAGTTTGAATGTCCTAAAATGTTCTTGAATGGTCTTTCAATCCTCTCCCCAGCACTCCATATAGGCATTATTGTCCCACTTCAGGGAAAGAGTTACAGATGTCCTGTGAGAGTCAGTGACCTGCTCAAGTTCACCTAGATCCTCTGTACCAGAGCCTGCTTGGATGGATCTAGGGTTGCACACACTCTGTAGGCAGCAGACACTGCCTTTTCTTCTTGTGAAGGTTGGAGGACTGGAGCCCCCTTCTAAGTTTAGGAGCAAACAGAGAGTCAAAAGCTGGAGACCCTAGGGTACCACATGGGAGTCCATGTTGTTCTATGGTCAATAACAAGGTGAGGTTATTAGTTTGCATTTGAGCAGCTGCTATTACTTTTACATGACAATAAAACTAGTGAATTATATAGAATTTGCAAGATAATAAAATGCATATCTATCCCTTTTCCTGTATGTGTATATGTATATATATGTATTTATAAATATATATATATATATTTCTGTTCATAAGTCTCCTGTTCATGTGGAACTTCAATTAGCTGCTATTTTAAAAAATATATTCTATCATGTTTAGCTAACCCAAGCTTTATTGGCAATCTCCAAAACTACAGAATGACAATAGATTTGCTGATAAGTAGAGAGCATGTTGTATTCACACTGAGCACAAGTGTACTGCGCCTTCCATCTCAGGTGAGCTGTGTGGTCACTGGAAATTACATGCGGGAATTTTAAAAACATTACTATCAAAATGAAATAAAAATCCTCTGGACCCCTCTTTGAAAGGATCTATGTTTTGATGCATAGCAAGTCAATGTGTTTTTTTTCTCTTCCTGCTAAGTAAAGTATTTTAAAAAAATTTTTTTAGTTGTAGATGAACACACTACCTTTTTAATTAATTAATTAAAATGTGGTGCTGAGGATCGAACCCAGTGCCTCAGGTGTGCTAGGCAAGTGCTCTACCATTGAGCTACCGTCCCAGTCCAAAATGAAGTATTTTTATCTGCTCTACCTTCATTGCTATGGATTTAAGTCATGTTTACTGAAATTGTTTTTGCTAAGGAAGTTTTAAAAGGGAGATTGGAAAAAGCTCTTTCCCCCGCTCTTCATATCATTGAGATATGAAATCCAGCTTATATGTATTTGGGCTCAAATATATGTATAGACGTGTCTTCAAATATTTCCTCAATTTTCCTAAAACAGAGCAAATGGAAAAAGTTAATACTGTGTGTGGTGTCCAGAGTCTCAAATCCCTACATTTCTAAGGATTTAGAATTCTTTTCAGGAATCAATTTAAAATGACTCATAATTCAACTGAAAACAATTGAGGGTTTGCGTGTATAGATGATCCCATTTCCAACATTTTATTGCTGCTCTCAGTGTTTTTGTGATGACAGCTTTCCCTTCATAGAACCAACTTAAAATTAGAAAAATCAAACACACATTAGAGAACACAGATTTACTCTGCTATTAATTGATATAGAGATGTAAAGATCTCATCACCTGGGCGGGAGTCCAGCACATCCCCTACAGACATTTTCAGGGGCCAGAGCCTGGGTCATCAGCAGCCTACTTGGCCTAAGCTGAGCTGTCTGCCTTTAGGAACTCAGCCTTGAATTTTCAGTGCCAGGGATGTAAGCATTGGTGGAGCTGCCTCTGCACACATCTTGGGGTGTGAGTGTGCTACTTTCTTCCCACTTTATTTTTTAAAAAGTGAAGAACCTTGAAAGTCAAACTCCTTACTCTGCTCTGGCTTTTATTTGCCCTGCTGGACAGGAGGTAAGGTAGCACATCCTATTTAGTAACCAGAAAATGATTCTTAGAGGGGATGCAGCTTCTGCCGCTGCTGTGCATTAAATACATAGAGAAGAAGGCTCGAGGAATACAGAATTATCTCCTTGCAGAGGATGGAAGTGAAGGCGGGCAATAGGAAAATCTGTTGAAATATGATCCCATGATTTTAACTTTAAATAAGCATTTCCGTCCTAATAGAAACCCCTTCTAATGTCTCCTACAGCTTTGATTTTGGAACACGTCACATTCCTCATTAAAGCAATCACTGTTAAAACATAAAGCAACACAGGATTTATTTCTTCATTAAACTGATGATCCGTATATGAAGCCAATTAACATTATGAGTCTGGTGAACATCAAGTGTAAAGAGGTTAGAGAAAATTAAAAGCAGTCACCTTGGTCTTTAGATAAAGAAAGTACACTTTTAGGTTGTAAATTATCAGAGTGTCCAAGCGGGACAGATCGGCGAATTTGGTTAATTGGAAAATACATTTTACCGCACAAGAATTAAGAAAAAAAAATATAACCGTTTCGTTACTAGCGCTCTTTTTGGGAAGGAGAAGGGGACCATAGCGAATACCTATTAATCACCTTCTCCAGGGCCCAGAGTATGGAGACGATTTGGGAAATAGGGGGCTTGCGTCATCAAAGTTTACTGTAGCTTTTCGTTTCTGCATTTGTTTGTTTATTCGCGGTTTTGCCAGAAGAAACGAACCCAGACTACTGGCTCTGGGAGAGGGACGGCGGGCGAGGCGAGGCCGAGCTGACTTGAAGCCCTGTGCAAGGTAAGTCTTTTCCCGGAGCTCGGCTGGTGGTCCTTCCAGCGAGGCATCCAGGATCCTGTCCAAGGGCGCGGAGAGGGCGGGGGCCAGGAGGCGAGGGGCCGTGGGATGTTTCCGGGTTGGAACCTCAGAGTAGGATGCTCTCCTGCGACTGTGGAATCGGGAGTTCGGACCTTGCTGCGACCGCGCGCGTCCCAAGTAATTTTCGTAGATTGTATTGGGAGAGGATTGAGGTCCGTTAATGCCCGGAATCCTGCTGGGCGGATCTCGCAGCCGCGTAGCGCAGGGCCCGAGAGGCCCTCGGGACCCGCTTCTTTCCCTGTAGAAGTCCAGGGATGGGGTGGGGAAAAACAGCGTCGCTGTCCAGGGTTCTGATCGGCCGAAATGCGCCGGGAGTGCGCTGCCAAGACAAACTTCATCTAGTCCACCTCTGAGTTTTGATGGGAACCTCTGTCAGTTCTTGTCGGGGATGGGGAGCTGAGTCTGTGGGTCGAACCTCATAGGTTTCTGGGGTCAATGCAGCTCCCAGAGCTGGGCTGCTTGTGCTAAGGTTTCTCCCGCATAGATACACAAGTGAACCTGGAACATGCTGGCGGAGATGGTCGGGACCCCAGCCTCACCTCGCTTCACAGCCACTGAACTACAGGAGCGCACAGGGCGCACCAGCGGGGAGTTGCTGCGTAGGTCAGAAGGGAATCCGAGGGGGCTTTTAGCAGACTCAGGAGCGCAAAAAGGGCATCCGAACAGGCTCTTTAAAGGGTTGCAGAGTTGGGTGCCTCTGAGGGAGATAGGGAGAGAGACGGAGACAAGCACTCGTGAGCCAGCCTCTTGGCTTGGGGCTTAGAAAAGGTCTGCTCCCCGGACTCCAGGCCTCTTCAAGTAGTGGGAAACCACGCGCTCGGCTCCGGCTGGTCCCTGCCAGCTACCTCACCCGCCTCCCGGACCTGCAGCGTTCTCCCAGGCTGGCCTCCTGGACTCCCGGAATCCGCGCCCTGGCAAATCTGGCTCCGCGGAGTCTCCGTGAACAGAGCCAGAGTTTTCAGCGGTTTCTTGCTAGCGGCTGGGCGGGACTCTGGTGTCCGGATGGCTGAACCCAGGAGGGTCCGCTTCCGTGAAACAGGTCACGACTTGCCTCAGTTGGAGCGGTGCGGTGTCTTCCTGGGGGCTGTTTTCGGAGGGATGTCCATTGCGAGCCAGGGCCCTAGCACTCAGCCCTTCAAGTGGACGCTACTCGCCCCGGGGCGCATGTCCGTGAGTGGGCCCGCCAGGCCTTTTGTTTCCAACGCGCTGCGTCTTTAAGATCGAGGCAGGATTCCGGCCCGGGCAGGGACTCGACCCACCGCCTCGCCAAAGCTCCCGAACGCAGCATTAGAATGTTTATAAAATATTCAATTTATGTAGTCTGTCCAAGAAGCCATCGTCCCAAAAATAAAATCAGCAGTCTAGACGGAACACAGACACCAGAACTTATCAACAGTTGTCTGACTTGCATCTTCTGATGCATCTTGAGTGGGTCATAATACCAACTTTATTTTCAGTGGTGCATAAATTAATTACACGCATTTAATAACCAAAATATCATTATATTCCCCCTTTAATATCATAAAGGCTTTCCGCCAGGGAAGCACTTAATAGTGCAGGGGGCCGTAACGGGCTATTATCCTGGTGTAATGCTATTACAGAACCAATTATGCGCCATTAGACTTGCTTTTTTTGCAGTTTATGTGATTTGATCCAATCCCGCGCCCCTGACTTGAAAATTTCAGCCCGGTACTTTAGAGTTTAATTTTCACCCAGGCAGAGAGAAGGGCGGTCTCTCTCCGCTGAGTGTCTGCCTCCGATGCATTTTAAAAGTAATTGCGAAGGGTCCCACCGCATATCATTTGCATGGAGAAGCGAACATAAATTCAAGGACCCCTTGCTGAGAACAAAATCAAACTTTCCTTTTGTACGATCGCTTGGAAAGGGAAGCCGTGTGCAGAGTCCCCCCAAAACCCATCCGGCGGCGACAATTAGCACCGCTTTGTCAATTTGCAGCCCGGGAGTCGCCAGGCCTCTGACAAGGGCGAACCCAAATCCATTCTCTCCTGGAGAAAGAAGGTTTGAGTCTGAGGGGACACGGGGTGAGGTGGGCCGAGTGTTCAAAACACAACCTCTTTTTGGGAGGCTGTTGTTGGTGGCGGTTGTTCCTATCCTCTTTTAAAAGAGGAAAAACATTCCCGATGTTTGCTGAGAAATGACGGATTTTTTTTTTTTTACACCACGTGGGCCATTTGTAAGGCCCAATAGACCTATCCAAGTTACTCGCTGTAGACAGCGCTGGAAATAATCAGATTAAGGCCAATTATGCGTGAGATTATAAAGGCGAGTGCTGAGCGGCGGCGCGCGCTGTAGACAGACAGCAAGACATCTGGCCACTTCCCGAGTCACTTCTCTGGTCCTGCGGGCGCCAGCAGCGCCGAGCCCCGCCCGCCGCCAGCCGAACCCCGCGTGCGGACCGGAGGCGGTCACGCTCTGGCCTTCTCTCCAGCTTCCTGCGGAGGTACTCGGGGTTCCCAACCCACTCCCCGGGCCCCTCATACCCGGCCTTGGGGCCGACTGTCTTCCTGGCGGTAGCTGCCGCCGGAGCAGCTGGCCTTGTGCGTTCGCAGGACCGGCTGCGGTGGCCTGGTGCAGGGCTTGCGGCCGGGACCCCTGGCAGCCCGAAACCAGACTGCGGGTTTGGTGTTGGGCCTGGGTGAGGGTTCAGCTCTCCGGGAGGTGGACCCTCCCCACCTTGCGGGTTCCTGGCTTGCGACCGGAGGTGCCGCCACCTCCCCTTCGGTCCCCGAAGTGGGCTGAAGGCGCTGGGAGGGGGCTTTTCAAGAGTGGTGCTCTCCGTGCGCCCCTGGGCCAGGTCGGAGCGCAGGCAAGACACTTAGGCTCTGATGCTGTTTGCTTTGCAGCCAGGCCGGAGCTACGCGCGCCCGTCGGTCCCGCCGCCACCCACCCAAGTCCGGCCGCCTAGTCCATCAGACCGTCGGCGATGTTTTATTTCCACTGTCCGCCACAGCTAGAGGGTGAGTAAGCGCCGCACCCGCGGCTGCTTGGCGAGGCCAAAGCAGTAGCCGGCCAGAAAGGACCAGAGCGACAGCAGTGCTGGCGGGTGGTGGGGTTTCCACCCTGAGAAGGGCAGCAGCCTGGCAGTGAGTAGGGGCGCCCTTAGCATCTTCCCACAGCGTGCTCCATCCCCGTCTCCTGTCCCCCATAGCCACCTGCCTCCCACCTCCTTCCCCGCCCGGGACCGGCTGCCCCGGGCTATGCTTGCCGCGGGGAGGGCTGGTCCTCCCAGCACAGATGCTGGTGTCACGCCTCTAATCCGGGCTTCTCTGCCCAGGGGGCTGCATCAATCTTTTACGGTGTTTTGCAAACATCCCGGAAAGCCAAGGCGAGTTGGCCCCCGGCGTCCTGGGCCCCACCGCGAGCAAAGAAGGACCCATTGCTGGGCTGCTGTCACTACAGGCGTTTGGGCGGGAGTGCTCCAAGCCCCCCGCTTGGCTATTCTGGGCTATGTCAGTCCCTGGCGGCCGAGCTGCCCAGCCTACCACCTGCCCCGTGCCCTACCATGGGTCTTACTCTGCGATTCACTGGGTTTCTGACTCCAAACGCCATCCACTCTCCACTTCTCATTCCCCAGGGCCAGGGTGGGGATCTGGTCTTTGAAGATCTCCAGACTTTAGAAAAAATTTCCCTCAAGATCCCTAGTGTCATCTGCAACTGATTGTTGGGTGGAGGTGGGTGGCGATAAGGGGACACCTTGAACTTCAGGGTGCCTTCATGCAGGGCCTAGCAGTACCCAGGGTGTGTCCTCTGAGGGTAGAGATTAGTATCCATCAGGGCAGCCCCCCACACTGGGCTTGAACAGAGACTTTTTCAGAGATATACTCTGGGGATACTAGGGCTTTTGCAATCCTGGAAGCAATTCCAGGACTGGCCTTTTACAACTTACTTCTTTGATTTATTCTTGTTGTGGAACAAGCTTGGAGGCCAAGACATGAAGGGAGGCATGGGGCAGGGCAAAATGTGGTTAGACACTAAGAGATCTCACTGAGGATGCTCCCTCACCTAGCCAGCCTTACTTGGGATATCAGAAAGTTTGTTTTTGTTTCCCTCCCCAAAGCTCTAAATTGCCCAGCAGGATTTTCTAGAGAAGGCTAATGCAGAGCAGTGTTTAAGAACTGTTCTTTCTGTCAGCATTCCTGAAAAGGGAAGGCCATGCATTTGCCTGTATTTCACCTCCTTTTACCACCAATGACTCATGCTGGGTAAGCTTTATGGAAAAGTCAGAGAGGTGCATTGCTTGACATTGTACCCCAAGACTGGAGAAGACCCCCCTATACCCATGGTTGGGGCACCTTCTCTGTGCTTCGGAATCTGGGACTGTTGACTGATTGTCACTGGCAACCACTTTTCCTGGTCAAAGTGGGAAAGGCAGAGGTTTGGACATTTAGCAAGTGGTGGACATTCTGAGTGACCTAAGGGGAAAACCCTGTCTGTAGGGTGGGCTGCAGAAGTGACCTAGGGATAGGCTGGCTCCAGATTTCTCTGTCCTTCTTGCCATTCTCAACTCATCTCAGTCAGCTTACCTTTTCTGCCCACACCCTGGGCATACCTCCTGTTGATACTGATTCTGATGGGTATGACCAGAAGAAAAGGAGATGGGACTTTAAGCTCCTTTCCCTTTGTGGGCGTGTTTCCATGCAGATTTTGCAGGAAGGGGAGTTTCAGTTTAGTTTAGATTAGTGTTATTGGTGGAAAGATGATCTGCTCTCAATGGAAAAGCCGAGGACAGACTTTGGGAATGTGGCATCTTATAGCCGATCGACTTTTTAATTTCATTTTTTTAAAATTGTTTTTCCAGAGACTTTCAAGAGAGAGCAAAACGTGGCCCATAATGTCACTTCTCAGATATTTTTGCTGATATTAAATTTAAAAGTACTACATGTACCTACATGAGAAGTACAAATAGAACAGAAACCTACACTTCAGCCAGTGAAATCCTCCTCTGTGATTTTTCCTAAAGGCACCTGCTCCTGTGGGTTTTTTATAATTCCTTCAAGAAAAAAACATGCTTTCTTTCTCATTTATGTCTTTTTCTCTCTATATGATATGCCTTATTTGAGTTGAGATCATACTGTTGCAGCATTTCGCAGTTTGCTTTTTTTTTTTTTTAACCTCATAACGTATGTTGGGGATTTTTCCATGCCAATGTATGTGGATCTACTGATTTATTTTAGACAGCTGTATAATATTCCATTATATCTTGTGAACAAAATGCTTACCGATGGACGCTTTGGCTGTTTCTTTTTTCTTTTTTTTCCCCTCAGTTACAGTGTTTCCAGGCACATTCTTGTCTGTCCTTTTTTGGCACACTGTTAAAGTATATTAATAGATTAATACCTGTATATACTCTTGAACTTTTGATGGCTCTTGTCAAATTACCTTCAAATAAGGCTAAAACAATTGATATTTCTAAATGATGAGTGAGTGTAACCAACTTATTACTTTTTGTCTGTATTGGGTATTATTATGTACCTTACTTAAATTTTTTTTGCCTAAATCATGAAAATAGTATTTCATTATTTTGTTGCATTTTAAGTATATGTGAGGTTTAACATTTTCACAACATTTATCAACCATTCTGTGTATTTTTAAGTAAAAAGCCTGTTCTCATCCCTTCTTCTTTTCTAATAGGTTGTCAATTTTTCATTATTAAATTGATGAAGTTGTACTTTTTTAGGATTCAATGCAACATTTCACAATACGATGTTACATGTATAATTGTGAAATAATAGACAACAAGGTATAAATTAGAAGACTGGGAAAGATTCTGATTGGAGACTTCAGAGACTGCATTCTGTCCTCCCCAGTCAAGTGCTTTGTTCCAAAAGGAGACAATTGAGCTTTTTGCAAAGTAATGGAAAAAAGACTGATTTGAGACTGCCCCCTTTCAATTTCCAATGAGCTGGAAAGAAATATTTCTAACTAGGGTTTCTGAGGAAGAATGCAGTTTGGGCAGGAAGATTTAGTGGGGGAGAGAAAGGATGTATTCTGGCCAAGGATGTGGCTCTGGAGGGTAAAATAATACCTAGCGGGACCTCCTTTAGTAGATGGAATTTTAAAAAGCCCAGGGGACTTGGCTTCCCCGGGATGGAGGTCCTTCCTGGGAATGTTGTCTGGGGCTTGGGAGCTCCTGATGCTGAACGTGCAGTGACTCTGAGCACGGGCTCCTGGCAGGTAATGTGTTCACTGGTTAATGGAAACTTGCTCATTTGTTTTCCTAAGAAGCCATTGTGGACTATCAAGTAAATAGCGCACATTTGGAAAATGATCTGAATGCACATTTGGGGCCAAACTCTGTTCTGGCTTTATCATGAGCTTCGGAGGCTTCTGGGCAGGACAATGTCTTTCTTTTCTAGGGAAGTGAGAGCAGTAGGTGCTTTATAAGGCCTGACTGGAGAGTGTCTTTTGAGAGTGGCCCTGTGTGTGTCTGCTTGGCATTCAAAGCAGTCGCTATTGGTACAGGTCTTTTGTTAACTGACATCTTATATAACAGATCCACTATGGTGCTGATGAGCTGTGACGAACGGTAATTAATATTCATTTATAAACTTCTTACTCCTTGCGTTTTTGCACTTCTAGGAGAAAAGTGCTGTGAAAAGCGCTTGGTGCTTTCTTTCTTCCCTCCGCTTCCCCCATCCTCAGTCCTTAACCCTTGTTGGTAATAGAAACAGGGGAAAATGACTAACAGGCGAGCAAAAGACAGACAGAGGTACAGCCTCCTATTAGAGGGTCTGAGGTGGGCGGGTGAGATGAAGGCACATGGGACAAGGTGCAGCTGGGGGCTGGAGGGCAGATAAAGGCTCTGCCTCAAGCCAGTGACCCCTCCTGGATCCGAGACCAGAGTGCACTTGGCCATCTTGGGGATTAAGGTCATTGCTGCCCCATGCCATAGAGACGACTGGGCCTAAAGTCAAAGGTTTTTTGAAGAGAGAGAGAATAGGAGAGAGTGGAAAAGAGAGTAGAAAGAGATATTATTCTCTTAAGAGAAGCAGAGAAAAACACTTTGGGATAGATGGACCCTCTCTGGAAGGGGTGGGCAGGTGTCCTGTAAGTGAGCATGCAATGCTGGCCTCTGTAGAGAGAAGGGGCTCTCTGAGGACCGAGGGGCCCTCTGCTCTGGCTGATTCAGTTTGTTCCCAGTAGGCACGGCACCCTTTGGCAACCACTCTACAGGGGATTTTGATGATGGGTTTCTGCGAAGAAAACAGCGAAGGAACCGGACGACCTTCACCCTTCAGCAGGTAACAAGATCCATCCCCAGTTCTCAGAATCGGTTACCTCCTGCCTCCGTGAAGTCAGAGCTGAGCAACTTCTTGTCGTTCAAAATGAGGCCAACTGATTGTGTTAATGGATCTTTTTATTTTCTTGAACAATTTATGAATCAAGAAATATGTCCAGGGGAGGGTAGCTGACTCTGTCTTGTGACTCCAGGAAGCCTAATGAAGAGGCCACAGCGATCTCTACCATTGGTCTTAAGTTGATGACGTGGGGCGTATCCCAGGTCAACACACAATAACCCTTTGAGGAAGGCAGGTCACACCTTCTGACCCCGAGTAGACAGATGGGAAAACTGGGACCCATGAAGTTAACTGACTCATAGAT